TTTGTTGATTTTTTTCACTATATACTATGTAGAAATTTTGTGAACGCAACTCCTCTTAAACCGGATGGCAGATTTTGCTTAAACTTCCAGGGATGAACAACCTTAAGGTGCAGATGGTAGTAAAGGAAGGAATTTTTGCTGCAACCAAATTTAACAGAATTATGGCCCTTTGTTGATTTTTTCATTATATACTATGTAGAAATTTTGTGAACGCAACTCCTCTTAAACCGGATGGCAGATTTTGCTTAAACTTCCAGGGATTAACAACCTTAATGTGTAGATGGTAGTAAAGGAAGGAATTTCTGCTGCGACCAAATTTAACAGAATTATGGCCCTTTGTTGATTTTTAGTTTTCAACTTGTGGCACATGTAGTCCAAAAAATATTTGACCTTAAGAGTCATAAGATTGACAGAACAGTGGCGTGTGGGGGCATCCGTGTCCTATGGACACATTTCTAGTTTTAAAAAGTGTTAAGTCAAACGTGTAAGTTTGCCATTACTCTGCTTCGTTTACAATTGGCACAAAAAACTTCAGATATTCCTTTATTAACTTCACAACCTCACCGCCACACGCTATTTTGGGACCTTCAATGAATTTGCTGTCACTGGCTTGGTCTAAGTTCAAAGTGCAGAATGGTCAGATATTGAAGAATTTATGTTTGTTGGGGATAACATTATAAGTACAACATATCACGACCCCTATTATCAATCCAAGCTCAAGATTAAATATAATGGAACAGATACATTCTTTTAGGGCTTTCCGTTTGCTTCGCATTTTTATTTTGCTGACTTCTGCCGGAACCTTAAACGGCTAAATATATTTATTACATATCCTTATGTCCTATTTTATATACTTGAGAGTAAATAAAGATGTCTGTTTGTCTGTCTGACAAAAGTCCCTTTTTCTGCCAAAACGTTATCAGAAAGAAACCAACCTTTTATTGTTTTATTTAGCAGTATGTTCTGTTGCAACTTTGTGGCCATCAAAATTTAAGTTACGCTTATAAAGATTCTTGGACTCCTAATCTAAGATTGTCTACAATTGTGGGTTCAAACCCGATCAAAGTCAAACCGTTGTGTTTCCTTGAACATGACATTTCACACTCCTTGCTCAGTACTGGTTGGATCAAGTGTGTCCATAAGCATATTGCTTTCCACAAAATCGAACAAAAATATATTGTGTATAACCTAAAATTTAAGTCAATAAGATTAGACAGAAATACATGTCTATAAATTAATATGTCTTTTTCGTAGGTTGCATTTCCTAAACAAATTAAGACATACATTTGGGGTACATTTGGAGGAGTACTTTGTTTCTCCATAAAATAGAAAATGCATTTGTTGTTTTATCGCAATATGTAAATCAAAACATCTTTGAACAAAACACAATTCATTTCGAGTATTGAAGTGCTTTCTTTATTTTCAAATAAATTAATTGATTCATTCTAGAATTCTGAAGATCCACGAATGAAAGAAAAACTTAGAAAAAAAAGCAATATTATGTTGTATGATATCGTTGATTTTATGTAATAAATTATCCTGTTTCCTAACAAAAATCTGGAAACAAAGTGATCCCTCGGAAGCATTAATAACAACAAAATTACAAGAGAATTGCAGACTCGGTTTAATTGAGTATGTACATGAGGGATAATGAATACTTTTATGCAAAGATATTTAAAACTGTTGTTGAAGTAAGTCTATACATACTGCAAATTTAAATATATCATAGGTGTACATAGGTAGGAGTTTCTATTTTATGCGCAACGATTGTTTCGTAAAGACTGAAAGGGAATATTTTATTCAAAGATATTTAAAACTGTTGTTGAAGTAAGTCTATACATACTGCAAATGTAAATATATCATAGGTGTACCTAGGTAGGAGTTTTCACATTTATTGTTTATAAAGAAAATGCTATACAATAAACTTTAATATGCAAAATATTTTATATGAAAAAGGGGAAGAGAAATAGCAAGTAGGATCCAGCCATTTTCAATTCGCGAAATTATTGTTACATAGCATACCATGTATCGGTGCAACGCCCGACTATCTAGTTTTCGAAAGAGAAAAAATGTCAGAACGTTTGCAAAAAATGTATACTTATGTAGAATATTATACTATAAACAAGTTTTAAATGTTTAATTCTAATTGCTTAGGGGGTGAGGTCGGTTACACAAACTAACAACTGTTATTCATAATCAGTCTCAATCATACCGGGCTGGTAACATTTAATACTTAACACTATTTTTAATGTGTTAATTTTGGTATGACAATAAACAGCTTTCTTGAATCTTCGTTTCGGTATCATTCATGTATCTGATCTCATTAAAATCCATATGCGTAATAATATAGTTTGATAATATTTAAGTAAATCAGAATAAAACTGAATTTCTTAAAATATGACAAGGTTATCTGTTTTCAACATCATTTTTGCCTTTATACGAGTATTTCATAAAGTTTTGGTATTCCTGGGCACCTTGCCTCTGGTTCTGGTTGCTGGGTCGTGTGGGGGTTGAGTCTTTGAACGCCGCCTTTTTCTTCTTGATCTTATTTATCATATTTTGTATAATGCGTGCTGCGGTTGTTTCTGAATGTTGAGGAAGATTTTAATGCAAAGTCATGTGTACTGTATGAGATATAAATTACTTCGTTTCAATATAGCCGAGTATATGTTAGGGCAATGTAGTTAGCTTACAAAACATTGCATAACAATAGTGTACTTGCGTCTTACTTCTTGTGAACATTCAATTTTAATTTTGTTATTAATAATATTGTTATGCAACTCATACCCCATTTTCGTTTCAACATCATTCACATACATCGCAAATGCATTTACAATTGTATCATGGCATTTTTTCAATATTAATGAAAAAAAATAAAAAAATCTACAAAACATCAATTTTTCTTCAAATTTATATGTTAGACCATCATTAAACATGGAAAAACGCGATTTTGGGTAATTTCAAGTATTTTCATCATTTTCTGTAAACCCATTACGCGATATACACACCTTTAAACGCCTTTTCACCCCCCCCCCCCTTTTTTTCTTGTCTCAAATGATGAAAAAATGCCTTATTTAGGCCCCCAACTCTTTGTTAATGTTTGAGAAATATTGTTTAAGAAAGTGACCACTTTTCGGCGCGGTCCCCCAACCAAAAGATACATCAGGGGTTGCCAGAAGGGGATGTGCCCCCTTCTGTTTGGGGGGGTTTGAAGGGGGCGGCAGTCCCCCTCATCGCCAAGAAAGGTTAGGACTTGTGAGAGGCTAAAAATGACCCCAAATCGATTATAAAGTAACCTGTAACCAACGCTGAAAAGCATTTGACTCTATCTCAATCAATTGAGAAGTTGCAGCACTTTGAAATCATTTTGATAGAAAAAAAATCAACGCAAAATAGTGATTTTTGGCAATTTTGAGATGTCCCCTCGTTTCCATGGTAATTTAAGTTTGAGCATGTTGTTGGAAAGGCAATGGTCCAGTTAACATTTGTGCCAAGTTTGATTAGTATTGAAGCAGTTTTCATAGTTTTATAGCAATTTGAACTGGTAATGGGAGACTTTTCAATGAAAACAGCCATTTTTCACAAAATGCTCATGAAGTAATAGGTTAAGTACTCAACAACTACTGCCCTGTATGACAAGATGTGCGTAAAATTGATAAAATAGTTATATGTTTGGAACTTTCCATTGTCGGTGTAAAAGATTTCATTCTAAAGGAAACAAGTTTGCTATACCTGATAAAAAAAATAATTTTAATAAAGGTTTCTAGTAATAATATTCCTTAATTCAGAACAGTATATTATTATGATCATCATCATAATAATCATCATCATCATCATTATTATTATACATTATTTGTATAAATCACATGTACATCGCTTATTTCTCCTTTACTTTTATTTAAGAAACTAGAAATCTATTTTATTTCCGGCTGTTTAGATTTTTTAGAGTGGAAAAATGATTCCAGGACAGAATGATACAAACAGGTAAATACATTTTCTCTTCTATATCATATCTAGTTGCGACCAGTTCAAATAAGTCATATTAAAACTCATGACAGTTAAACGACAACAAAATGCAATTTATAACTTATTTCAAAATTTCGAACTATTTTATTTGTTTTGTTTTTTATTATGATTATTATTCAATAAACTATCAAATACGTATATTCTTTTTCCTTTCTTTATTGAATGGCTATAAAACTTATTAACAAATTGTTAAAAGTTCCATATTAAGTTATCACTTATCACTGGTTTGTTTCATGACATGCATGGATCTTTACGGAATGAGAAATGAATGGTTTACTTAGATAATATTTAATTTACTTTTCCTGTACATATCGATCTTTTTTTCAATTTTCTCTGGATTGACATCTAAATTCTTATCTGATAATGGTCTGCACTGTTCAGTATCCAGTCATTACATTGTACTTAATTAAGAATTTTTTCTATACAATTCATATGGTTTTTGTCTAGGTTAGAAGACAGACAAGTCCATTTAACATATGAAATTCAGAGTGATAGGGGTTATATAATTAACATATATTCTCGTGTTGTGCAACAGTACGCGCGTGTTTTCATACAGATTTAATGTTAACAACAAGGATGTTATTTTACACATTTTAATTAAAAATATACGTAGAGAAAAAAAACTTTTTTAAAAGATAAATATTTTGTTTAGATTTTGTGCATATGATGTCATGAATTTGACAATGACAGCATTGCTGCAACTAGATTTCGTTGACGTGTACGAAAATTAGTACTGTTTTCCGAGCAATTTTAATGTTTTACTATGTAATCACAAGTATTAAGCCTTCACTTTGCTTTTGAAAAGATATATCGGTCTATAACACTTTGATCTGAAAACAGATTTTAACTAAAAGCGACTGATATAATATTTTGATTAGTTTAAATGATGACTGTTATCAGCTACATCTATTTATTACTTTACAAGATTACTTACCGTTGGCATCTAAATTGATAGAAACTATGCTTCTATATAATTCCAGAAATTCGACTCAAATCGCATGGTCCAAAACAGCGAAGACAGTGGTGAAGCTGTGAGTGAACCGGAAAGATATCTTTTTGATGTCACTGACATACACAAAGATGATGCATTCAACGAGCAACACAAGATCAAATCATCTTTAAAAGTCTGCATTGAATATTCTTTTACCCAACAGGAATTCGAAAAGTGTCTGAGAAGGCATAAAGAAAACAAATTCAGTACAATAAATGGATTGAAAGAAAAACGAGTCGGTTTTAGTACATGTGGAACATATGGAAACCGCTGTAAGACAAAAGAAGGAGAGAAAGAGACTGGAGAAGAAAAAGGAAATCCTTTGTGTGGACGTTTTGGATGCCGCGGAAAGAGCTTTGAGAAAGAGATTGGAGAAGAAAAAAGAAATCCTTTCTGTGGACGGTTTGGATGCCGCGGAAAGAGATTTGAGAAAGAGATTGGAGAAGAAAAAAGAAATCCTTTCTGTGGACGTTTTGGATGTCGCGGAAAGAGATTTGAAAAAGAGATTGGAGAAGAAAAAAGAAATCCTTTCTGTGGACGTTTTGGATGCCGCGGAAAGAGATTTGAAAAAGAGATTGGAGAAGAAAAAAGAAATCCTTTCTGTGGACGTTTTGGATGCCGCGGAAAGAGATTTGAAAAAGAGATTGTAGAAGAGAAAAGAAATCCTTTCTGTGGACGTTTTGGATGCCGCGGAAAGAGATTTGAAAAAGAGATTGGAGAAGAAAAAAGAAATCCTTTCTGTGGACGTTTTGGATGCCGCGGAAAGAGATTTGAAAAAGAGATTGGAGAAGAAAAAAGAAATCCTTTCTGTGGACGTTTTGGATGCCGCGGAAAGAGATTTGAAAAAGAGATTAGAGAAGAAAAAAGAAATCCTTTCTGTGGACGTTTTGGATGCCGCGGAAAGAGATTTGAGAAAGAGATTGGAGAAGAAAAAAGAAATATTTTTTTTAACAAAAACTACCCCAGACCCACATCCAAACCAAAACAACGCCGCAAGACAAAACAGAAAAGTAAAGAAAAAAAAAATCCTTTCTGTAGTCATTATGGTTGTTATGGGAAAAGATTTGCTTTCTTCAATAGATATCCAGGAAAACGGCAACACTCAGTATTTACAGATAAGAAAGATAGAGAATCAGTTATCCCAGATGAGAGGGGGATTTTACGTAATCTAGACCAACATAACGTTTTGTTTCAAACATCAGAGGGTTTTGAAGCATCTCAGACTGATTCTAGTGATGATAGTGAAGAATATAACACGCAAAATAAGTTGAAAGATGTGCAGCTTAAGGAAGATCTAAGACGTGTCATAGGGTCAATGTGTAATACTTCAATAAATGGATGTCAGTTTAAAAAGGAAGAAGAAAATTGAAAAGAAATCGATGGATAAAAATAAGATAATATATATTAGTGGCAAATGTGTTGAATGAATAAAACAGTGCTGTTTGTAGCAAAAAAAAACATTGTTAATTTAATTGTAATATTTCTTTCTTCTTTAAAGTGTTATAAATATGTTGATTCCAACCTCTTTTTAATTGGTAATGAAAACTTTTTAGATGCAATTAAAAACTACCTAAATTTTCAAAAAAAACGCCCAATTATTTGCTTCCGATACATTATGAACGATATCTATAGAAATGTCCGTGGATCACGTGGATATCCGATTATTTTTGCATGTTTAAATATAAATTTAAGCTTATTTTCTACTTTTACCTGTGCACTTACCTTTTACAGGTGGATGGGAATAATGTTACTTTGAGTAGTTGACAGAGTATTGTAGTTAATGGCTCCAATTATCTTCCATTCAACACATTCTTATCTTTAATAACACACACTAAATTAAGGCGATCTTTTGAACATAGCATTAAAAGACTTTTGAATAAGTTTTTAAGTCGCACGTGTAATTTTGCCGTTACTTTGCTACTTTTACAATTGGCAAAACACCTTCCAATATTCCTTGATTAACTTCACAACCTTTATTCACCGCCACACGCTATTTTGGCACCTTCAATGAATTTGCCTGGCTTGGCCTGGTTACACAGTGGAGAATGGTCAGATATTTCAGAATTTATGTTTGTTGGGGATAACATTATATGTACCACCCATCACGACACCTTTTATCAATCCAAGCTTAGGATTATATATAATGGAACGGATATCAACTAGTTAAGATATTGTTGGATTTTTTTATTTTCTTTCTTCCTTTTTTAGGCTTTCTATTTGTTTTGTATTTTTATTTTGCTGACCCTTGCTGGAACATTTAAAGGCTTATTATATTTATTTTACATACCCTCACGTTGTTTTTATAACATTGGGAGGAAATTGTCTGTCTATTTGTCTGTCTGAAAAGACCAGATGTTAATCAGACTATACGATTTTTTCTTTCATTTAAAAGTAAAAAAAAATCTATAGATGACTTTCATTTACTTTGAACTGTTAACAAGGATTACTACTTAGACAAGTTTAAGTACTTAAGGTGCGTAAGACATTGTCAAAACTAATTTGATCAGGCGAGGCGTGTGCTTTAATCTTATCAATGAATTCAAATGCTAACTTATTACAAATTGATAACACAACCCATTAAGATATTTTATTGAAATTTTGCACCAAAAAGTTGATATAGAATCAGCAAAGACATAACGGAAAAAAACATATTTGCAGCTTTAGCTACGCGTTAGAAGTACTTTGGTTCATAGTGTCTGGAATTTAAATGTTTAGGGGTTTTTAACTTGTCGAGATAAATTTCTACCTGTCAATACATGTCTGTGCTTTTAACAGTCATTTGTTTTCGATGATATCGAAATTCTAGGTCAATTTGCATATTTTGCTTATAAAACTGTGATGTTATCAAACACTATCAACAACATTCGTTTGTAAAGAAACATTGATTTCTTATTAAAATAAACGTATTTAAAATGATGTTTAGTGACTTATTTGTGACAGTTGGGATAAATAGTAAAAAAAGGAAGTCAACTGCAAATTCTACAATTCCCTTTAATATACCAACGTTTCGGCTGAACAGCCTTCTTCAGGGTACATACATAAATAATTATTCTTGCATAGCAGACTGGCGTTTCCGTGAGTTTTACCCATGCAGGAAATTTAATCTGGCATGGAGGGTGCCAGATGAGTCGCGTGCCAAACAACAACGTCATTTTAGCGCACTTTATGAATGAACCGCGTTAAAATGACGTCGTTTTAGAAGGGAAATATGTCTTAGGATGACGTCATTTCGCCGTTGTTATTTAAGTTGTAATTTCATACGCTATTGTAAGAAAATATTTATGGATGAAACGACTTTAATTTCCATGAACATATATCATATTGAGGTAAACCATTTTAATTATGAAATCATATGGCAGAATATGCAAGAAAATATATCTTTCATATGTTTGCGCTTCGGATCGCAATATCCGTCCCTCGACGGATATTCCGGTCCGAACCGCAACATATGACAGATATTATTATTCTAACACGACCCGCATTTTTCCCTATTGAACATAAAAAACCGAAAGTGTGTGTTATTACGCAATAAAATCACTGTTGACGTTCTATATTTAGACATGTGACATAATCATTATAAAAACATGACGTAACCACTAAAAATGCGACAAGCTGAAATAAGTATAGAAACAAATCAGGCACAATTTAGCTCAATGTCAGGTATGGCAGCATTTATTTGTTAATGTCGTGATAGAATCGAAATAATATATCCAAATCGGTGATTTTATCGCTTGATAAAATCACTGTTTGTCGTTCGGATGCGCATTCGAACTCCAAACAGTGATTTTATTGAGCGATAAAATCACAGTTTAGAATATATTATTTTTTAAACAATAAACAGGAAATTATGTCAGCGTCACATGACGTCAATAGCGACGACATAAAAACGTAACAAAGAGTTTGGCGTAATAATCATAGACAGGATCAATTTGATGCTTTATACTAGTGAAGAAAGTGCAAATATAAAGTAAAAACATCAGTAAAACTGACTCATATACATAAAATAGTAATATAATAGTACATATAACAGTAATTGACAGATATTAAAGCAAAACTTTTGAATTCATTCCATTAGATGATAATGTATCTTAGTGACAGTTAAGATGTAATCATAAAGCACCAGGATACGACTGATGTTTGATTCCATGCATCGATTTCTCCTTCAAGCTCATTCAATTTAAATCGCAATAATTATGTCGTCAAAAATAAGATCCTCTCAATCATGATTTCCCATCCGCCATTACTATTCTCTCAAACAAAGAATGAACTCTTTCATAAAAAGGACATAGTGCTTTAAAGGTGGTTACATTTAAAATCTAGAGATAAGCCTTTGCTTTTCACCCATGACAGTCTATAAATTCATTTATGCATGATGCGAATATATCCTGAAAAACGAATAAACTATCAAATTATTTATTTCCGAGAACTACATATACCGCCTCCCTTTTTCTGACAAAACGTTACCAGAAAGAAATCTAACTTTTATTGTTTAATTTTAGTAGTGTGTACTGTTGCAACTTTTCTATGAACTACATATGGCCAACAAAATTTAGATCACGCTTATAAAGATTCTTGGACTCCTAATCTAAGAATGGCTACCATTGTGAGTTCAACCCGGTAAAGTTCAAGCCGTTGTTTCCTAGAACAAGAAATGTTACACTCATTGCTCAGTGCTGGTCGGATCCCGGAACGGATTCGAAGTTGTGTCTGTAAGCTTATTGCTTTTCACACAATGAAACGAAAATAAATTCTGTATAACCTAAATTAAGACATACATGTTCTGATTACCTAGGGATGCATTGAGAGGAGTACGTTTTCTATCCTTATAATGGAAGTATGCATTTGTTTTTTACCTTCAGAATTCTAGAATAAATCAATTGATTTATTTGAAAAGAAAGAAAGCCCTTCAATACTCATAGTGAATTTAATGTGTTTTGTTCAACGATGTTTTGATTTACATATTGCACTAAATCAAGAAATGAAGCAATATGATGCTGTATGATGATACATAGAATAACTCGTTGTTGTTATGTAATAAATTATCCTGTATTCTAATACGACCCGCATTTTTCCCTATTGAACATAGAAGGGCCGACAGTGTGTGGTGTTTAAAAAAATAATATATCAAAAACAGTGATTTTATCGCTCAATAACATCGTTGTTTGGAGTTCGGATGCGAGGAATTATATCACGAGGGCGTAGCCCGAGTGATATAATGATGCGGATCCGAACGACAAACAGTGATGTTATCCAGCGATAAAAAACACCGATTTGGATATATTATTTCTATTCTAACACGACATCAATATAAAAATGTTGCCGTACCTGATCTTAAGCAAAATTGCGCTTGGTTTGTTTCCGTAGTTATTTTTAGCGCGTCGGATTTTTAGTTGTTACTGTTACGTCACATGTATATATAATCAAAATATAGAACGTCAACAGTGATTTTATTGCAAAATAACACACACTTTCGGTTCTTCTATATTCAATAGGGAAAAATGTGGGTCGTGTTAGAATATGCAATAATAATGAATTGTTTAAAGCAACGAAGAGAAGAAATAATTGACAGCTTATCCTGATTTTATCAGTGTTACTAAGATCGAGGTGTACGGGGTGCCACATGATATTCATCAGAAGAAAAATATACAAAGATTGCATTACAATGTTACAATGAGAGTCTCTGGTATATATAACTGAGTTCTCTTTACTTCATTTGATTAATTATTTGAATGACAAAACCTATATAGTATTTTGCATTGAAAAAAAATCTAAATATAAATGTTGCAAGTGTGTCAAAGCATTAACGGCATGACTTGAAATCTTTTCAAGAAAGAGTCGGTAAAAACTTGAATACCTACTATATTACCAATACATAAAATGTCTTTTCATCATTCATTATGAGTTGATTTGTGAATTTGTTTTAACCGACTCATTTGTAACAAAAATTATCAAGCGTAACGAAATCCTTCACAATCGATTTTCACTGAATCAGCAAAATAATATTGCCCAAACCACGCTTGCAAATGTAAGCTCGCCTATTAAGAGGAAAGAAAAAATAAATTCAAAATGGGGATAACTTTCGAGTATTTTAGAACTAAACATATACATGACTGTGGAATGTGAATGTGGTACAAAAATGGAACGCATTAAAGGAAGGATGACGTTGCTCACTTCTAAAAAACGAATTATCCGTTCCTGAACTGAACATTTATCATAATGCTCATTAATAACGTCTTTTCCCATGAATAATAATATGTACGATCGTAGACACGGCTAAGTCAATTCATTTCCTAAAATGCAGTGATTTGGATGTAAAACGATTTTTGACAGGTTATATAACGGTGTACAAACGGTTGTTTGCAATAATATAGTCTGACTTTATTGACCTGTCAATTATGAATACATTATAGCACGCATTTAAATATTCGATCCCACTTCGGTTGTGTCCGTTTATTTTACGAGAATTAATATGGGGTATATATAACTAACGTTTGGAAAACTGCCACTAGCTCAATAAGGGTTCTCGTAACATCCACAATAGCGCAGTCGGTTAAGTGATTACCTAATGCACGAGAGGTCCAAGGTTCGATCCCTTCTTCTGACATATTTTTTATACTTATTCTTTCTTTATTTTTAAGTTTATTTTAATGAAAATGGTCAGGCGCTTGCAAAATTGTCTACACGGATAAACACTGAATTGTCACATTTTGTATTGTATTTACGGCACTGAAATTACATTTATTGATTTTAATCCGAATGAATTTTCAGTATTAATTCTTAAACAATGTTATATACAAAAGTATAGTATTTAAAAAGTGCAAACCATATTAAAAACGGAACAACCATAACTTCAAAAATGTTGAAAATAGTTATGAATAAGAAAAAAACCTGGACATACTCTGTCTCGATCTTACAACACGTTGGACATTCAGATAAACTATACCCGTAGTTCACACTTTGCGCTATAACGGTCAGTGTAACTAAATCATAGAAACTAACATCTTACTGCGTACCTCTCACGGAATTTACCGAACATTTATCGAATATAAATATATATTCTGTGCATTGACCGTATAATCAGTATGGAATTGACAGGTTAATAAAATCAAACAATACCATCGCCTAACGACTAAGCCCAGGTTATAAGCAAAATAAACCGTTTACATTTGGCCATATGACATGTCAAACTATATATAACTAATATTGCATATATATGATTACAAAAATGAAATGATTGTTTATCTATAACAATACATAAGAATATAATAGTAGGTGTATACACTGGGGGCGATATATGACTGACCTACGCTTCAGTTACAAGCCCTACAAGATATTTGTATAATCATATAACTTTAAATCATATATACCACAATTAGTTATATTAACGACATCTATTATTAAGTAATCGTTGTTGTCATAATTTAAAGCTGTCTATCAGAACTTTCACTTGCTATTTGCTGCAATATGTCTTACATGATAATAGTATCAGTTGAATGAATGAGGGATTTTTTGCCATCAGGAGTTGTATCAGAGTTATAACAACTCCTACGTAGGAGATAGAAAAACATAATAAGGAATTTATATATCCCACGTAGGACTTAATAACTTCTACATTGGACTTTAATTTTTACGTAGGACTTTATAACACCTACGTAGGAGATAAAAAAATGTTTAGTTAGGACTTTATAACTCCTACGTATAATATAAATAAAAGCGCAGAAAGCAGAGAGTGCGACGGACATGTATGCTAGTGCCTAATTTAGACAAGCATATTATTTAGTAAAATAAATAATATTTGTCAAATTGTTATTGTGGTAAGCAGTTTTAGGAAATATCATTATTCTGTAGCTAGAGATAATTTCGAGGGAAACAACCGAATCTCTAGATTCGAATTTATTGTTGAGCATTAAAACTAG